ATTTAAATTAAATTAAACTTAAATTGTTCACAACAAACTGTAGGTACAAACCATAAAGGTGGTTACCAATAAAAAAAATGTAAATAATATCTCTTGTTTTTACAGGGAGCTGGGTGGAAGATCAGCGAAGTGGTTTTGGTAAATATTACTATGTGAATGGTGACACATATGAAGGTGAGTGGCAGAACCATGTACGGCATGGCAAAGGAACCTATCTGTATGCTGCAACTGGTACGATATATGTTGGCTTATGGAACAATGGCAAATGGGAGGGACAAGGAGAGTTGGTACATGCAAACCACAAGTTTGTTGGACTTTTTAAGGAAAACAGAGTAAGTCTTCGCATGCTTTTTGCTTTTTATTTGTGGAGAGTAGAGCATTTATCATGCACACTTTTACAATGGTTTAGTGTTGTCTTTTTTTTAACTTTCCATTCTATTTTTTTGTTCTTTCCACCTAATTAAGTCTAAAGTGTTTCTATTCTGTCTGTAGCAAAATTTCATTTAATAAATTCTTTTGTTTTGTTTTGTAAGTTTCAAACATTCCTTTAAAATTATTAGAATATATCCTAGCCAAAACTTCCTACAGGATGGCAGCTTGATGGAAGTGGGTAGGATCAAACTTGGGACCATCCTCACAACAGTCCTAACCACATACCACACACCAAATGACCAGCTAGTTATCTAATTTTTTAAATGCTCAATGAAACATGCCTAGAAAAGTAAATTGAGGTCCTAGTGACCATTTTGAGATCCGTAATGGACAAAATCACTATGGCAACTAACTTTTAAAATTATTTAAAGACATGTTCACCCCATGTTAAAAATATTACATCATCCAATATGGATGACTGCATTGTCATGTTGTACGGAGTAATGTCGCGATGGCTATGGGTTCGAACTGTGCCTGCCACCATCCCTGCCGTCCTGTGGAAGGTTTGGCTAGAATATAAAAATCTTCAACACTGAAATTGCATCCATGACATGTAAGAGAAAATAAAGCATAAATGTTCTTATTTTGTAATCATTTCCATACTCAATACTTGATTCTGTTTATATTCACTTTTAGCCCGAAGGCAAAGGAAAATATATTTTTGATATTGGATGTGAACAGCACGGAAAGTATGTGATTGTGCCATCTGAAAAAGATGACAAGGGAGAAGATGATGAGCCTTTAGCTGCGGCTACAACAAAATGGGTTGCGGGTGAAGTTCTACCTGTGCATATCAAGACAGCTGAAGAGGAAGAAGAGGAAAGAATGTTGGCAGAAGCTGAGAAGATTAAATTGCAACTAGGTAAGGTTGAATAGTTGGGCTTTCCTTCACCTTCATCATATTCCTTGCCCTTCATTATCTATTATTTTCTAATTATTATTAGAAGTTTGTGATTAAAAAACACAAACAAGCAACAACGGCAATGTCCTCGATTCCAAAGATTAGGGATGAGTGCAGTGTTTCACATGACTACTCAAACCCAGTTGCGACCTGCATACTTTTCTGCATCTTATACAGACAAAGCTGTTGTCTGTCAGCCATCTATTTAAGTTTTCTTTTTGGCTTTCGCACCTGTCTTCATACAAGATTAATGATGATTGCAGTATTTCACATCAACCCAGTTGAGACTTGCATATTTTTCTGCATCTCATGCAGACAAAGTAATTGTCCACAAGGGGTCCATTTAAGTTTTCTTTTTGGCTTCTCTGCTTGTTTTCAAACAAGAAGTATCAATGAATAAAACATAAAAAAAAAAAAACTTAAGATAAAATTCTGATATTTTTCTAATGGTACCACACTGGGGATGCTATCTCTGAAAAGGTGCAGCTTTCCTGTTATGTCCTAGGCTAAATCCTATAGCATAAAGCTCAGTTGCCCAACTTTTTTTGGCACAGGATCTTTAGAACATTTCTGAAACTAGTGTCACAAGCCACAGTAGCACAAAAATTTTTATATGCACTTACATAATATTGTGGTGGTTGCAGAATAGGAATTGGAAAAATCTCCTTTTAGTTAGTGCAGCCCAGGAATAGAGGAACTACACACTAAGTATATAGTAGTAATGGTCACTGGTATTGTGGGACTTCAGACAGGACTTGAGGTGAAGAGCTCCTGCTTCATGCCTGTCTGGAGAAATCCTTCCTGATATTAAAGTGATAAGGGCAACACATAGACACTCCAATTTCCAAATGGACTTTTTAAAAAGTATATTCAATAGTAGCTCTTTTTTTTATTGGATCTGACTGGTTACTATGTTGACCTTGCTTTAATAGCTACCTGAAAGCTACTAGGAAAAATAAAAGGGTAATAGGCGATCCAAAGGCAGACCCCGAATGCGATGGATTGATGATGAGAAGGCAGATCTGCAACAGCTTGGGGTTAGGGCATGGAGACAAAAGGCCCAGGAGAGATCTGAATGGAGGGATGTGTTGAAGCAGACCAGAGCCCTCCATGGGCTGTAGCGCCACTGAGATGGATGGATGGAATAGTTATTGTGCTAATTGCAGGCTTCTAATTAATAGGTCATAGAAATGAATTAACTATCATTTTATAAACTTTATAGACCTTTAAGTGTCTAAAGAGAATTTTTCCCACAGAGAATTAATCTCTTATACACATAGTCATTATAATTCTTTTTTTTTTTGGCTTTTAACCTTTAAGTATGCATTTGATAACAATCCTCATATAATCTTATTCACTGCATTAACAGAAGCAGCAGCAGCAGAAGAGCCTACTAATGCAGAGGAAGAAGACAAACCCCCTGGGGAGGTACCAACAACCGAAGAAGATGTCACAGACCCAGCACACGAATCACAACCAGAAGGTGAAGAAACAAATGTTGATGGTGGCACAACAGAAGAAGGTGGTGGGGAGGAGACTGGTGGTGATGCAGAAAACACAGAAGCACTTGCAGAGGAAATGGAAGACACCACAGCCGCAGGAGATGGATTAACGGATTAACTGTCTTCCATCTTTATATTTAATGTAACTTTCTAGTACTTTTGTACTTTGTATTGTAAGCCCAAAATTTTTTATTGTTAATCATGTAATGGAACTGTACATAAAAAGCCTCTTTGATGCCTACAGCGGATGTAAAGTTTGTCTGTTTTTATGACCATTGGCTATCAAGGGGGTCATGAGGCCAAATCAATATTTGTCATCAAATGTTTATTATATGTCTTATGTGCAAGAGGAAAATTCTCCATGCAAAATGCATTAAAAAAACCTAAGTTTTTAAGTAAATTAACTTACTTTTGGTAGTTAAATTTCATTATTTAACTATAAATGCTTACTTATGTATCAAACATTTTAAGCTAAGGTTTAATAAGTTCTTTATTCATTTACTAATACTATGGAGATGTTTTCTAAAACATACAAAGTGCAGAAAATAATGAAATGAAATATAATAGGCTTGTAGTTTGTTTATTTACATGAGATTTGAGTTATTAATTAGCTTATTGACTTTTAGACTTTATACAGCAAGGATACTTGCATCTAATTATGTATCAAAACAAATTAAAACTGGTTTGTTTACATGCAGCTCCAAGATGCTATTCTTTTTTTTTTAATATACTTAGCATGTGGGATGTGTGGCTGAGTTGTATACACTGCTTGGCTACCTAAAAAAAAATGTGGGTGGAGTTTGAATCCTGATGGAATTCTTTGTCTTGAACTTAGATCTGTTTCGGTGAGTGCCTAATAGCAACACAGAAACCTTCTAGATGCCCCCTCCACCTATCTGTCTACAAAAGAGATTCAACCAGAGCTCACTAAGAGTCCATATAGGAGAATTTAAAACAATCTAGGCATACACATAAGAGGAAATAATAATGCATCCATTCTAGGACTGAGGTGAGCTAAAATCTTGTTCTAGCAGAATTCTTGTAACCTGTCTAACATTATAAACTTTTATTTTCTCTACAGAAAAATAATCTGTCCAATATTTGTACTCCATTGAGTTACTTGATTTTACAACTTTTATAAATCAACAAACCCATTTTTTTACAACAAACCCAAGATGTCACATCATAATTAAATTCTGGGCTTCAACTTCAACTAGTTAATTCAACAAAATGCAGAGAGTGAAAAAACATAAATATGATAATAGTAAATATGTTAATTTAATCCATTTTATTCAAAGTAAATATTTCACATTTATGTTTTAAATCAGATAGGCTTTTAGGCTTTCTGGTATATTTAAATAAGAAAAAGAAAAAAAATACTTTAAAGGAAAAAAAAAAAGCTTATATTGAGTGTGATTATATTAATTAACTGGGATGAGTCATGTAATTGTTACTGTGATTGCTTTCTAAATGCATTAAAAAATAAAAGTTGTGTGACTTGAATTTGAACTCAGGGCTCAAGCCTCTTCAAGGGGACTAATACAACTTATACCACCAAATCTGTCAAGTATAATATCTTTCCCTGTTCAATACTAAACAAAATAATTAATTACCAATAGTTAATTAACTAATTGTTTAATATTTTGTATCGATTTTTTGGTCAGGTACTTGAAATAATTGCAGAATTTTAACTTGATCCGAGATTGGGTGTGGGAGAAAGAAGTGTGAACAAAGATTTTACCAGACAGACAGAGCTTTGTTAAAAAAAAAAGATTTTCAAAAAATAAAAGAAACATTTCTTGTTTCACTGGTGACAGCTTTTTTTTTTTATTTTGCAATAAAAGTAAAGTTGAAAATAAAATTAAAAAATAAATTGTAAAATATAATCTTAATCTTCCACAATGTTTCTGAAAACACTAAGTGTAATGTAAGGATAAGTGCTCAGACTACATCTACCCTGCTATTTCTATCTATCTAAAACATCTTGGATTTCAATCCCTCAAAACACCACTGCTTTTAAATATAACATTTCTCATTTATTCCAGTCATCAGCTACTGTAAGGAATACAGTCACCACTATATCTAAATCACACCATAAATATACCAACATTCACATGTATTTAAACCAAAATACAACACAAGTAATAGTGCAATTCAATACTGCACATTATATCAAAGAAAAATAATTTAAAACTGTAATACTAATTGGTATTCTGCCTGATTACATATCCTTTGTTGTGTGCATATTAAATGTTGGATAAATGATGTGTAGTGCCAAATGAGAAGTTTAGTAGTGATGAAATTGTGCATCACTAATTTTGTAAACTCTGCTGAGCCATCACTATCAACAGCTGGGAGAAAATGGCATAACATTCAGTGAAAGCTTTGGCAGACGAAATATTTCTGTGCATTCTAAATAAATAATATGCTTTAACATTATATTGCATGCGTTTCAAGCAGAATGATACCAATAACATGGTAGTCATAAAGTGGGGTCCTGGACTGAATAGAGAGATCATGCCAAGTGTAGAAAGGAGGCAGAAAAGTTAGAAAACATCAAGTTCAATGCTATATGTTCGAAACCGTTATCACTTGCCAAACCCAACCATAAGTGTTTTTTGAAGTTAATGAAGTTTCTACCAGTATCTTTTGGTGTGAAAAGCATACCAAGAAAAGAAGACAAAGGAGTATGTACTTTAAGTCAACACTCTGGCTCAATCTTCAATCTATGAAGAGATGAAAGCTGAGCTGGTTCTGTCTTATATTAACACGTGACTCATTGTCAAAAGTCATCTGTTAAGTTACAGTGCATCAAGCATGAAGATACGTCATCCAAAGAAAAGCTGGACAGAAAATGTAAAAGAATGGACTGGCCTCTAAGTTCTCTTGATATTTATATTCTTCTAAAAACCTTGCTGATGCCTGAAGTGGCGAGCTGCTTTTTCTGTGTCTAAGAACTGGTGTCTAGAGCTAGAGGGGATCATTTAACTCTGTTATGTTAAAACAAGTGATACTTTAATTAAGCATCAAAGAAATGTGGTCTGATGAGAGGACTGGCATTTCTTGTGTCTAAGAACTGTTCTATAAAGCTAAATGAGATTGTATATGTCAACACCAGATTAGGAAGATCATAATGTTAGCCCTAAATATAATTCATGTATTACATTTCATTGTTTTAAAAAGATGTTAAAAAGAGACAGGCTTTAACTAAAGAATATTCTTATAAGATATTTATATCTAATCAAATATCAAATAATCTATAAATATCACAGAAAAGACATGGCTTTTTTCCCTCATTGCAATTAAAATTTTTATCTTTGATCATTTTTTTTTCTCAAAAGTTATCAATAAAACTGTTTAGGTAATAAAATTCATATCAAAATTAATTAGAATGTAATACTTTAATGTTAATTCTAGGAATTAGTATTAATATTTCCAGTTATAAATAAAACAATAGTCATTTAGTAATTGATTGCCTGCTTTGAGTGACCCACACATTTAAAGAATAAATAAATTGATTACACCACAAAACTGAATATGTTGTAAATAAAATTTGATTTATCAAAAAAAGTCCAGAGCATAAAAAATATCATCTGTATTATGTTTTTTTAAGTTGACCACATTTTACTATTTTGCATAACAAAATTAAAAAAATAAAAAAGCAAAGCTTCTTTATGCTTCATAGTTTTCCAAACAAATATGTTCAGATATTCCATATTATTGCAGGAGTCTTCTGGTACAGTAGTTCAAACCTAATCAGGAAAGAGGCACACTCCAAATTAACACATTCATTTTCTTAAATGTAAGCTATTTTAATTATTGTTAAATTGTTTAAAAATTATTTTTTACTGGTGACAGAGAACTGGGAAAATTTTAAAACAGGTATGTATTTTTGCAAGATTCCCAGGGTAGCTCTATCTAAAATATATAATTCAAAAATCAATTATAACAGCATATTGTTTGTTACAAACTTGCAACTTAAATGTATGAGGTTTTTATGTAACTTAAGGTTCATCATTGGATGGTTAGTTCATAGACAGGGTTTGGGTTTCTCAGCGGGTGGACCTACAATAGGTTGCAGTCTTAGCTGAGGATGGAGGTAAGCTGTGCGATGTGTGGTCTGCCAGCTGTTGCAATAAGCTTGGTATTCAGGAGTGTCCAGCTCTGGCTGATGAACAGAGTAGGCGTTAGGTAGGCGGCCTGTACACGAAAATAGAATTTAGATCAAATAAATTAACTATGATTACATTATGATTTTGAAAACCTTGAAATGTGGTATCTATATTTAGTCTAACTAAGAATCTCTGTAAAACTCCTACAATTCCTTTCTTGCAATGTATTGTCTCAGAAACAAAATGCTTAGAAATTTGTCTGATATATAGTACAGACATAGCTTCCACTTTGATGATTGTTTAATTCTAAAACCAAGAACAAGTAATTTGTTGACAAGAATTGTGTTTATTTAGAATTAAACACTGAATGATAGTGTAAATAAATAAACTGAAGTGCATATGACAAGCTTTTCAATTTTGAAAAGGTTAATGGAACTCAATTTCTTTTATTTATCAACATAAAAATCATGCATCATAAATTTTCAAGCATAATTATTTATTGAGCAAGCAAAAAAATTATACAATTGTTATTACTGCCAAGGCCATGAAAAGCATCAGAAGTAATTATCTTCTTTTTTGAGGATGTCATTAAATATTTCTAGAAGTATTTGATTAACTGAGACGATAATGGAAAAATCCAATATGGCAAGAACTTACGTTTTAACTTTTTAAGATTCTCAGGATAATGATGCAGAGGAGATTTATTGTAAGAGTCTGCATAAGTAGGTTGAAAGTAGTGTGCATACTAAAAAAAAAAACAACAACTATATTTTAAAAAAACAAAGCAAAAAGTTAAATAGCAATAATAAAGTAAAAACTGAATCATTTAACTTACAATTACAAAAACACAACCTAATAAAATACTCAGAAAGACACAAAGGTCAATTTCTACAAATGTTCCTTCTTACTTGATGCCATGGATCAGGTTGCTTATATTAGCTATGAATATTAAAGACTTAGCAGAATTAGTCTCTAATTAACATGCCCAACTAGATTAACAGATAATTCTAGCTAGGTGCATGAAGGATGCAATTATCCTTCGTGCATCTATTTTATTTTAATTATATTTTATTTCAATGGAAAGCAGGCTAGAAGTTATTAAAAACATGACTAGCTTCCAAACGCTAAATAAGCTCTTAAAAATATTGTGGTGAGTTAAAGCCGGCATATGCATTGGCAATGTTTTGGTTCTGACCTAACAAAGATAAAAAATCCTAAGTGAGGAATCAGGCAAGAGGTTATAACTCTAACTTTTCCAAATTTATATTTATTTTAAGAAAAGAGATCAAAGCAAGAAGTTATTATCTGAATGACACATGAATGCATATAAAAGAACAAATTGAAGAACATATTGTTTGACAAAAAGACTTTCATTAATTCAGAGAATGACACAGGCAAAATCACTGGAAGCAATCCTCTAATTACTTTTTAAATCTAGTGGAATCAAGCCAATAAACTTATGATCATGCAGATAGCTAAAATCTATCCTCTTTTAAAATCATCATGTGCAAGTGATATTTTTATAATACCCTTTAGGCCTACGAGTAGCAAGCTTATCACACCATCATTTTATTTCTATTTAGAAATTATGTCATGCTTAAGTAAGATCAACTTTATACCTGAGATGGCAGTGGTTTGTTCTTTTTTATCTCTTTTAAATCAAATCTCTCTTCATTATAGTTGCCAACAAGAGTAGCGGTCCTGTACAGGTCTTCATTTGTAGTACAGCGCCACCCGTACTGGTGCATCTTTAACATATTATCAGTGTGGTTCCATATTTCTGCACCTCCAGTTGCACCCCGCATCATGCTACAAAATGGGGGTAAATGATCTAGAAGCTCCATCATATGTTCTGTTAACACTGAAATATAATCCACATTTTTGGGGTTACTTGTAAGTCTTTTATTCCTCTATGGCGTTTAATTTGAAATAAATATAAATCTAGTAATTTTTTTTTTTAGATTAAAGAGTGTAAAATTTATGAATATTAAAGTAAAGTTTATTTTTTAAAATCCAAAAATGTCTTTATGCTTTATACTCTGTGCTGATATTGTGCTAAAACAAGTTCTCAACTTCGAAGTTGTTTTATTTTTTATATTCTGGATATCTCAAATTGTCATAATAATACTTAATAATAGATATCTACCTAATGTCTAACTGCTCAATATTAATACTAATAACTAATAAAAATAATGAATGTTAAAATAGATAATAATATTAATTTTTTAAAATATAATTTAATTTAAATATGTTTTTAATTTATTCCTGGAATTATTAAAATTATTAACGATATCGGCATATCGGATAAGAACTGTGTTACAGTTGATGACTCTTAGTCCACTTAAGTCTTTTTATGTCTCTATAACTAGTAACTAGTCACTAGTGCTAGATTATAGATCTAGATCTATCTCTTAAATACCCTTAATATAATTAAATTTATTACAGACTCTTATTAATATAAATTCAATGTTTATACAAACAATATTTACCTGGTAAAAAATATGTAGGCCCTAAAGTCTAGTACCTTAAAGTATAATAATAATAGAGTGGTTGACGACAGTTGTCAATTAAATGGCAATGGCGTTACTTCCCCTGTTGCTAGGTCATACTCACATATCTAAAAGTTCAATTTCAGTCACGCATAAAAAAAAATATTACTACCACAGACCTACATAATAAATATAGATGCAATCTAGGTCTTTGAGCTAAACGCTTTTAAACAAAGACCAAGGAAAAATCGATTGCTAAAATCTAAATAGATACAGAACGATGTAAAAATAGATCTATATATCTTTATCTAATGGTAATCTTATCTTATCTTATATAATACAGACGTTACTTCAAAAAAGAAGATGATTACGTCCTATGCGTCATGCATTTAGTCATGCATATTAACCAATGACTTAAATTCTGACAAGTCACTGGTTTTTCTGGCTAGCTCAGGCAACCCATTCCATGCTCTAATAGCACTAGGGAAGAAGGAGTATTTGTACAAATTTGTCCTAGCATATGGGACGAGAAATGTGCCTTTATTTTTGTGTCTTTCAGAGTATTTTATTAAATTTTGATTTTGTACTTGAAGATTATGGTTCAGTGTTTTATGTATAATTGCTACTTTACTTTTGAGTCTTCTGTCCTGAAGGCTTTCTAAATTTAGTGATTTTACTAATGGTGTTACTTTATTCAAATGTGAATATTCGTTTGTTATGAATCTCACAGCTCTATTTTGTGTTTGTTCCAGTTTCTTAATGTTTTCTTGAGTTGAGGGGTCCCAAACGGTGGATGCATATTCTATTATTGGCCTAACCAAGGTTAAATAACATTTTAGTTTTATGTTCTTATTTGATTTATAGAAATTTCTTTTAATGAACCCTAATGCTTTGTTGGATTTTTTAAATAGTTTCATTAATATGTGGATTCCATGACAGTTTTTCATTTATTATAACACCTAGGTATTTTGCATTTTTAGTCTGTGTTACTGGTTTGCCATGAATAAGATAAGTGGAATTAATTTGTTTTAGTTTTTTTGTTACTCTTAACAACTGACATTTTTCTGGGTGGAAAGACATGCTCCAATTTGATTCCCATTTCTGTAATTCATCTAATTCTCTTTGTAAAATATCTGTGTCTTGTGTTGTTTTTATTGTTCTATATATTATGCAATCGTCTGCAAATAATCTGACTTTTGTTCCTGAAGTAATGCAATTTGGTAAATCATTATGTAAATTAAAAATAGTTGTGGACCCAAGACTGTTCCTTGAGGTACACCTGAGTTTACTGTTATCGGTGTTGATTTAGAGCCATTTATTATTACAGTTTGTTCTCTCCCTGTCAGAAAATCTTTAATCCACTGATGCAGTGGACCATTAGTGCCAAAATATTTTAATTTTTTTAAGCAAACTATGGTGGTGAACTTTGTCAAAAGCCTTAGAAAAATCTAGTAAGATAGCATCTATTTGTTCACTATTATCTAAACCTTTTGAAAAATCATCAAT